AAGATATTGGCCATGTCCTCAAGTTTGAGTGTGTTGTGATAGATGCAGAGACAAAATTGCCCTCTGGACCAGTCAACTCTTTACTAACTTCCCGTGTGATTCCAGCTCCATCCCCTAGTCCACGCTGTTTAGTCCCTGTTAGTGGTGTTGATGTGATTGGGAATTTGGACTCCAATGGCCGTGCTTCATCTTCTGGTTCTTTCACAGTGCTCTCATACAACATTCTTGCTGATGTGTATGCGACAAGTGAATCATACAGCTATTGTCCTTCATGGGCTCTTTCCTGGGCATACCGCAGACAGAATTTGTTACGAGAAATAGTTGGCTATCATGCTGATATTGTTTGTCTTCAGGAGGTATGATGGGACATACGTGGTGCGTTTTTCCAAAACCATGTGGATTTTGTTTACTGGCACTCAAAAGACAACTCTCTCATGTTGTGTTGGAATGCAAAATCTATTGTTTCTTAAAAGAAACCATTGAGATAAATTCCTATGTCTTCATCCCTTTTTGTGGTGTATCACTTTCACGGTTTACTTCATGGAACTTGTTAGAATCACCTCCGTCTTTAAGAATTAATGAGCCGTGATTTGATGGGATTACGTGAATGCTATCGATGCTAAAATATGTAAATATTTTTTATACAGGTTCAAAGCAATCATTTTGAGGCATTTTTTGCACCCGAACTTGACAAACATGGCTATCAAGCTCTGTACAAAAGAAAAACAAATGAGGTTTCTGTGTCCTTGTTCTTTTATTACCTTTAGCTTCCTACTTTTTCTCATTTGGCTTCTGTTTTTTGGGCACGATCTGTCTTCTTTTTCCTTTTCTGTTCGGTCCTCTCACGATCCTTATTGTTGTCTTTTAGGTTTATAGCGGAAACACACAAACAATTGATGGTTGTGCAACATTTTTCCGTAGAGACAGATTTGCGCATGTCAAGAAATATGAGGTTTTGAAAACTTTTTCTAACTGCATGGTTTCCAATTTTTATGTTTATTTTATATCTAAGAGAGCTTTATGCTTACGTTCAGGTTGAGTTTAATAAGGCTGCCCAGTCGTTGACCGATGCTCAAATTCCCACTGCACAAAAGAAGAGTACTTTAACCCGATTAGCTAAGGTATAGACTGCGTGTTCCTAGGTTGATCAATGAATTAAATTTGTGATTCTCGTTTTACTTTTCTCGTGTACTTTGTTTTTGTTCTAGCTATAATCAGCTTAACTACATTATATGCCTAGGACAATGTTGCACTGATAGTCGTTCTTGAAGCAAAATTTGGTAATCAGGGAGCTGATAATCTGGGGAAAAGGCAGCTTCTCTGTGTGGTAAGATATATTTTTGCCTTTTATTCATCGATCTTTACAACGGGTGATGATTGAAGAAGTGTATACCTTATGGGAAAAAAACACTTCATTAATTGATTTTGTTGCTAAAATTCGTTTTCTGTTCGTTTGCTGTCCACCAACTGGAGCCCCTTCCCAAAGTCCTTTGATATTTGTTTGGCCTCCAATGGTATACAACTTCTTGGTATGGTGGTTCAGAAGCCCTGAAAATTCTTTTGTAATTATAGCATTCTCGTGATCATTAATGATGGGAAGGTGTTTCCTTTGTCGTCCCCTTTGTAGCCTTCGCATGATTCTCGGTGGTTCAGAAGCCACAAAATTATTATGAGGTTGAAGAAACCATTTACTTATTTCCAATGATCTAGTGACATATATCAAAATATTTGAAAAACATCATTATTTTTTTCAAAGTAAATATGTAGATAGTAAAAATTCGAACACTTCAGTTCAAGTGTCCATTTTATTGTTGAAAAAAAAAACACCCGGACACACCTCAGTGGCGTCGCTTTGAAATAGCAAGGCTTCCTAAATGGTCTTTTTCATGTAAGCTTAAAACAATGTTTGACTGATGTCTAAGAAATGTCGGAATTCCGTTCGATTTGTTCAAGTTCAACTACCATTGAACTCATGCCTACTTATCAATATGAGTGTTCGATATAAATTGCCTAACTTGAAGTGTCCTAGCTTCTCCTTTTGGTTCTTGGCAGCCATCCCTTCAGAAAGCAGAGGTCGGTCCTTTAGGTACAACTGGTTAGATAGCTTTCTTTCTGATGTACATGACTTGTAAAGAACGATACGATCCTCAATTATGAAGAAAAAACCATTATTATATCCCTGGATAGTCTCATTTTAGGCTACCTAGATTTTGTGATTCTCTTCTGTGGCTTATTTTTATCCTTTTCCTGTTATACTAACCAAATAATTTGGAGAGTACTTATTACTGGTTGCTTATTTCTTATAGAGGTTTATAATCTTTTAGCTTTGATTAACTGATAAAATCATGCCACTGTTCGACACTCTTGCAAACAGAATTTGACCATTTTTTGGTGGAATCTTCTGTTCAGGCCAATACTCATGTTAATGACCATCAGGATTTAAAAGATGTCAAGCTGTGGCAGGTGCGTCCCCGCGTCCCCGACCCACCAAAAAAAATATGAGAAAGATTTAGAAAGTTCTTGCTCTAAATATTTATTGGAAATCAGGTGTCTACTCTGTTAAAAGGACTGGAGAAAATAGCTGTGAGTGCTGACATTCCAATGTTAGTATGTGGGGATTTCAATTCTGTTCCTGGAAGGTTTGTCTTCAGCACTGAAGCTCTAAGAACGCTGACGTTCTCTTTTTTGATCGTTTTTCACTGCTCAATTTTACTACCGAAATATGTTACAGCGCCCCGCATTCGCTTCTTGCATTGGGGAAGGTAGAACCATCACATCCAGATCTGGCAGTCGATCCTCTCAATTTATTTCGTCCACCCAGCAAGCTGATTCATAAGCTTCAACTGGTACTATTATTCTCCTCCCCTCTCCCTCCCTCCCTCCCTCTCTTTTTATTTATTTAGTTACTTTTAGATAATTTAAATAGGATAGAACAAGTAAAAGCTAACTTGGGGCTGCATTTACACAGGTTAGTGCTTATTCATCCTTCGCAAGAATGGGTTCTGGTATTGGATCAGAGAAGCAAAGGAAGAGACTTGACCCAACAACAAATGAACCCTTGTTTACAAATTGTACTAGAGATTTCATTGGCACCTTAGACTACATATTTTATACTGGTAAGCTTTTAGACACCTTTTTTTTACTGATACATCATTAAAAACAATCTCCATTTATTTCTTCATTTCTCTTTCCTTTTTGTTTACAGTGGACTCCTTAACCGTCGAGTCTTTATTAGAGCTCCTGGACGAGGAAAGCATGAGGAAGAACACGGCACTTCCCTCGCCGGAGTGGTCTTCTGATCATGTGGCCCTGCTCGCTCAGTTCTGCTGCAAGCCTCGAATCAGACGCTGAGACTTCGATGCAGGTAACTCCATATTTCTCCATATTCAAATGTTTACTTCTTTTCTTCACTTAGAGTAGTTCCCTATTGAGCTAATTTGAGGGTTCTAGTTGTGTCCTGTGGATGGCTTTTGTCTGCTAATTGTGGAAGTAGTACTTGTTGTTTAAGCTTTGTACAAACTTTGCATTAGTTATGAGCATGAACTGAGCTGATTTCCTAATCATAGAGAAATAAGATTGTATATCGAAAAACGTGGCGATTAACACAAAACACTAGACAGATGCAATGAAAATTCCCATCCAAACCTCTGCTTTTAGTTACTTGGTTCATGAATAAGATGTGGAGATTGTGATGAACAGTATTTATGAAACGAGATTATAATGGTTTGTGTGGTAATTGTTGTATAGATGTGGAGACATTCATTCAAGATATGCAATGAAATAATGTTGGATACCGATGTAACTGTTGTTGCAAAGGAGGGATAAGATTTGGGCAGCATGCTGTTTCTTTCCTATTTTGATTTTTTTTTTTCATTGAGGAAGGAAATTTGGTAACTCCCAACAAATCTTTGCCTCTGATGTGTAATGGCTCAATATCAAAATCTGAAGCCATCATTCTCTCCTCTTTCTTCATGTATTTATTTTTCTCCCACGATGTGTATGATGATGATGATGATGGTCTTTCAATCTATATACACCATTTTTCCTTTCCTTTTATTTTGTTTTCATCTCACACGCCTGTGTTCTTGTGCTTGGAAATGGGAACTCAATTTTAAAGTATGGTTCTTACATTTCTTAAATGTTAAGTCTTGGGCTACATTTTTTTTTTCTTCAGTTTGGATTGGGTTGATACGTTTTTTTTCTTCCGTTTGGATTGGGTTGATCTTTCGTAAAATCGTATACTTAGATTGGTGTGTGGGCTAGACATTTTTTTTTTGGTAGGGATCTAAATTACTACTCTACCCTAACCGAGGTTAGTGATACATTCATAAGATTTTAATTATTGATATAACATGTATCTTAGATAAATATATGATTTTTTAAAAAATGAACAATTTGATCATCCAATAGAGGGTGAAATTGATTTGAGTTATGAACTATATTCAAGTTGTTCGAGTCATCAGTTCAACTTGTGTACAACAATTAATGTTGTGACATTTTTGGTTGGTTAAATAGGAACAAAAGGCGTTTTGAAGACAATTTGAGTGATAAATGTTAAAAGCAACTCTTCCACTTTATGGTTTCAATAATAAAAATAATAAGAGAAATCGTTTAGATCCATTTAAAATGGTGAAAAAAATGGGCAATAATAGCAAATGTATAAAATTTTGATAGCATCCTTATGCAACATCTTATACTTAAACATTACCTTCAATTATCCAACCACTTCATAAATCCAATATAGGAGAAGTGTTTAAGCATAGACATATGTTAACTGACCCATTATATGGGCCAATTGCCTAAAGGATCAAAGGAATTGAGCAGTTGTTCATCTAAATTAAAGTTGATTACAAACATACATCATCAACTGCTTTGTCCCATTTCATAACTATTTGTATGATCAAATTTTGAGCAAATACATCGTTCCATCATTCGTTTACCATTAAAAGATAAAATAAAAGGAATTAAATTGAGTATTTAAAACAATAGGAACTTATATGAAAAAAGACTCCAACAAAGAACGCTTAAAAACATGTATTTAGCCTTCTTAACACTACAGAAAAACAAATCAAAACAAACTGAAAGGTGATGATGATGATGTAGAGTTAAAAGCATTAGTAATAGGGAGAAATAGGGTGAGGAGCAGCAATCCACATGTTCTTTTTATTCTCAAGAGTTAGCTTCAAAAGTGTGTGGTGATGACAGAGGCAAAGACATTTGTAGGTACTTACGCGGTGAGGCCACTTGTTAAGACAGTATTGATCTCGCCAATAATGTTTACAGGCCTTCCATCGAACATGGATGATAAAGTGCTTTCACATAACTTCTTCAACTCCCTGGTTTTCGTCAGAGCTGCTTCCTGCAATGCCACCCAATATTTGCTCATTTTAGTGTTGGTTTCCCTTTTTTTTGGGTAATGTATCTCATCATATGCAATCCAGGTTAATGAAATTTCCGGCAACATTCATAAAAATATAATACATAGAAGATAGAGGCAAATACAAACGTTGTCGATATCACGGTCATGCTTGTCCAAGGCATGTTGCCTATAGTTGCATCATAGATGTCCCAATCTTACTTATCCGAGTCGGTTGACAAAGACGTCAACCAATTAAGTGGAGGAGAATGTCATGGTTATGCTTGTCCAAGGCGTGTTGTCTATGACCGCATGACAGATGTCCCAGTCTTGTTTGTCCAGGATGTGTTGTCCATAGTCACATGCCCATTCTAAACCTCTTTTACATAATTACATCCTAGATAGATAGGTATTTACCATTTCACATTGGGTCAATACGGGGGTGTATGACCGTTCACCAAAACCATGTCTACCCTCGCTAGGGCTAAAATGCCTCAAGATGTACTATAGGAATAAGTGACAAATTCCCGGCTTAGTCTTCAATTTCACTTGGAAAAAGACAGACCAAGCCTTTTCTCCCTTCGGGGTCATGTAGATGTATATAAGCCCTATGGTGAAAATCTTCACTAAATTCTCTCCGAGTGTTGGTAGAGAGAAGCCAGAAGATAATTGGGTTTGCATTAAATTATACATTACAAAGATTAAATGAACAAAATAAAACATAAATTTTTGGAATTAGAGAGAAGCCAGAAGATAATTGGGTTTGCATTAAATTATACATTACAAAGATTAAATGAACAAAATAAAACATAAATTTTTGGAATTAGATATTGTAATTTCATTGTTACTCATGTTTTTTGTGTCTAGATATCTAACGTTTTTTTAGTTCAACAACATATGGGGTAAGAGAAATCAAACTTTTGACATCTTAATCGAGAGTAGAGGCCTAAACTAGTTGAGCTGAGATCAGGTTGACGTTGGGAACCCAAAACTAAAATTAAAATATCAAATAGCCTTACGCCACTCATTATGAATCGACTTCCCAAAATATGACCTCCCCTCTATAAATCCTAACTCCTATTTATAACCAAACCACCTCTAGTTAACTATATCATCAAACCCTTACTAACACCCCATTAGTAGAACATGACTCCTCCAAGGAAAACTTTGGAAATACAGGTCTCAAAAGAGTATTAAATTCTTCCTAAGGGAATTTGGTCACAAAAGCATAAACAATCAAGACGTCACTCAGAGAAGGATCTGCTCCCTCACCTTCTCACCAAATTGGTGTGATGTGTTAAGAAGGAATCTGAAACTGAAGGTCATTTGTTCTTTACATGCAGCTTGGTAACAGGTTTTGGAATTCTTTATTATCTTCCTTCAGCTAGCAGACCCCTCTTGCAACCAATATGAGAGGCCTGCTTTCTTTCATCTACTTGTTTTTTTTTTTTTTTTGATAGGAAACAAATACGTATATTCATCAAAAGAATAACAAAAGACAGCCTAGTAGAGATTACCCTCTCTGCCAAACCTAGCAATGGAGAGCCTTCCAATTGTTTATAATCATTAAAAGATTGTAATTACAAAAGCCAAGAAGAATCAGAAGGAGAGGACTTCTTCAAACACCCTCTTGTTTCTTTCCCTCCAAAGCCCCAAAGAAGAGGAAGCATTGTACAACGCCGAAGGACTTCTCCCATACCACCAACAAACCTTCCCCGAATTTCTTAGGAAATCAAGACTCAACCCCAAATTTCTTAAATAACGCAAGCCACCCTTTAGTTGCAAAAGGACAGTGAAGGAACAAGTGGTCTAGGGATTCTTCCTCACGCAAACATAAACAATACACAGAAGGGGAAATCAGCAATCTCGGAATATCCTCTAAACTTTTCCGTGGGTATCCAAACTTCAACGAGCCAACGACCAAAGAAAGACTTTACCTTTTTTGGGACCTTAAAGTTCCCGATTAGGTTCACCATTGGGTAGGTCAAATTTGTCTCCCCGTTGGTTAGCTTCAGAAAGGTAGAGTTAGCAGTAGAAGAACCCGATGAGTCGATCTTCCACCTTATTCTATCATGGTAATTACCTACAGCCCAATCATACAGGAACGCAATCAGATGGACCGAGTTCCCCAAATCTCAGTTAAAAAGCGGTCTTCTAATACCCAAGTCCCATGCTTGATGCTCACAATCCCAACAATCAGCAATGGAGACCCCTTTCTTTATAGTAATGGAATAAATATCAGGAAATTTGATAGCCAAATACTCTGTTCCACACCAATTTTCTTTCCACGTATTAATTCTTCTTCCATTCCCCAACAAAAACTCCACAAAACTGAAAAACTGGTCTCTGTCCTTCATGGTATTTGACCTCAGCCACTGTATCCCTTTCTTTTTGGTAGTTTTAGTAGTTCAACCCATAAGCTCCATCCCATAAATAGTGCAGATACCTCTTCTCAGTGAACCTCCACGACCATTTCATTAGGAGGGATTGGTTTCGTTGATAGAGATAGCCAATCACAAGGCCACTGTAAATTGTGGGCAACGAAGTCCATTTCCAAGGCACAAGGTGAGGTGGTCCCGGTTTAAAGATACCACCATCCCAAATAAAATCTCTGACAATTCTCTCTAAGCAATTGATCACCTTCATAGGAGCTCCCATGAGGTAAGAGAAATAGCATGGGAGGAAAGGGTTACCGCCCCCCATTGCAGAGAGACCCCTCTCCATTTGACAACTTTAGTTCAAAATTTCTCAACAAATGTATACCAAACCGCCACTGTCCCGTAATTTCCACCAATCAGGAAACCCATGGAATTAAAAGGGAATGAATTCTACTTTGCAGCTTGTTATAACTTTGGCTACAACTTGTTAGAACTTTCATTTAGCTAAACCCTAAACATTTTTTTTTTTAATTTTTATTAAAGTGTTTTTCTCGCCATGTACAGATTATAGTTTAAATAATCATCCGCCCAACTAGAAGGCTTTTATGTAGCTTCCATCAGCTTTGGGGCGGGTTTTCCCTCTTCTTTTGTATATTTTATTCCATCATTGAAACACAATATTTTTATAACTAAAAATTAAATAAAAATAAAGAAAAAAAGGAAGAAAAACTAAAATAAAACAAATAAATAAGTCAAAAGGAAGAAAAACTTACTTGTTTTGGCCAAGATGAAGCTAATGAATTTTGAAGCTCCATACGTTTGGCAGACAAGTCCTTCAGCCCTTCCTTCAGCTTCACTTCACGCTGCTTCTTTTCCTCTAGTTTACTAACTAATCTCTCTAGAAATCTGAAATCAAAGTTCACATCAGTTTCCGTGAGAATGATCAAATTTTAGAAAAAAAAAAAATCTTAGAGAAAAATTATAAAATAGAGTTGGATCACTCTACAGGAGCTAACAGGAGCCTTTTTCAACTGGCCTTCATTTTTATCCCTTCTTTTTGTCTTTTTATTTATTTATTTTTTTTTTTGGAAGTATCGAACTTTTGTTGAAACAAAATTGAAAGAATGCAAGGATGTACCATAACACAAGCCGCCAAAAAAACAGAAGAGTATCATTAATCAAATGGAGAGTATTCTTGAAAGCCTACTTTCACTCTGAGTTGGAATGTCTCTTTTCCACCTCCCCTTTTTATCCAATATTTCGTCCTTCGAAATATGGAATTTGTCTCCTAAAATAAAATTTTATGAAGAAAATTATAATATTGGTCCCCCGTTCAGAATGGTTTCACATGGCTTTCAGGTTATAAATCCACCATTTGAACTTCTAAAGTTCTTGACATAATAAAAAAGGAAGAACTTCGTTAACTATGATAACAAAAAGTGAACTTATATTTTCACATTGGCTTCTCTTGACTTGCTTTTATCATTAACTTTTGTCGTATTACTTCCTGAGCTAGTAAGTTAGCTGATAAAAGAATATATTAATTAAAATTAGGAATGAAAATTGACAATTAACATAATTAATCAAGAAATGATTAATCAAATGAATCAGCCAAATTAATAATCAAACTAATAATTATATAAATTAATTAGACCTATTAACAGATGAAACAAACTAACAGAAGTCAAGTGCCCATAATAAGTACACCAATGTGAACCTTGATCCAAATCGCAGGGTCCAAAAATGTACTTTTCCCAATAAGTGAAAAAACCATCAACTCAAAACCAAGTTTTCGATACTAATTCTTGACAACAAGACAATTAAATAGAAAATATATTGAATACATACTTCCTTCACAGACATTCAGCATTGTATTAATTGTGTCCCTTACTGTTAAAGTTTGCAATTATGTCTCTAAACATTGAACTACATTTAACCAGTGCCTATAATCGTTACCAGTAGATAAAGTGCAAACGCGGAACTCATTCCTTGAAATTTGGATGAAGTGACAATTTAACAACTAGTTAGTTGGATTTCATACATTATTAGGCAGGTGAAATTTTAAGAACCAAAAATCCAATTAACACTAAGAAGATGCTATCAAATCTAATAAATAATCTTTTCAACTAGCTGTAAAATGCTACCTCATCCAAATTTTAAGTAAAGAGTGCTACTTCTGTGTATTGCTAACTAATATTCATCGTCAAGACTAAAAATAAGTAGAATTCAAAATCTAGAGATGTAACTAAAACCTTTGAGTTAGACGTAATGCTTACAAGGACCCAAAAATGAAGTTTAACCTAATAATTAGAAGGGTCAAACATGTTAACTGTAGATCATATAGTATTTGAACCAAACAGTTTCTAGGATCACATTACATATTTGATATGTTTTAGAAAGTACATATGCAGATTATCGTAATTGCAAAGTTTGTCAAACAAAGAATTATAAACCTACCAGCACTAGTTCATCAATCAACTAAAGTTACAAATAAAACAAAAATAACTTATTGCATCAAAACATAGCAACGTTAATATTAGCACCAAAGAAAATGCTAATACATATGAACTTAGAATAGTAAATTAAGTGGGTTAGTTTTTACTGAAAAGGTGGGTGAAATCGGGTAACAGTAACCTCATTTTGTTGGCATTTCTCAAGAATTTTTTTTATCAAAATCTGGAAAATCCCTACGAGAGGTGGATTAAACAAATAAGAAAACAATGACCAATGTAGTAACAGTAGTACCTTTTAGAATTGAGAATCATAATTAAATCTTGAGTTTTCCTACTTGACAGTAATGATATAGCCATGGAAACATCTGATAGCATCATCTCAATGGCATCAGGAGTATATTGCTGCAGCACAAAGGGAGAAACTGCCTGGACTTGATGTTGCAAAGACAGAGTTTCATCATTCTTCAAATCATTCAAACGTTGACTTAGAAATGCCTTTATCTGAAATTGTAAATAGATATAGCCATTAAACCTTCGTATAAGGTATTTAATGCCACTTAAGTTTTGTACCAAAGCTATGTGATATACCTCATATAGATCATCAAGAATCTTATTCCTATACTCGGTCTCCAAAAGCTGGCTTCTAACTTCAGTGATTTCTGCAGAATGAGTTGAAGGAACGAATGTTTTATTATTCACTTCTATATCAGGCAAGGTTACATCATCGATGATATCAACTTGAGGTGTTTCAACACTGACATCCCATGAAATCTCAGACACAGTAGCCTCTGGCAATGTAGTACTACCCTCTTTACTAGATTCCATTTGGTATGATGATTCCAAAGCTTCACTCGCATGAACTATTTCGTAAGGTCCCAAACCATTTCCTGTATCCTCAGTTTCCTCCAGTGCACCTATATCCCAGTCAATTTGAGTATTTTCCAGGGATATATCCCAGTCAATATTATCAGCAGCAATTCCTGTTTGTCCAATAGCATCTGGTTCTATATAGCTTGACTGAACATTTACAGAATCAACCATCTCAAAGCCCACAGACACATGTAAAGAAGGAGGATGCTCACGTATATGCCCCAGGTTTGGTAATACAGTCACGTGTTTCTGTACACATGTATGAAATGTTAGAGACTCAGAATTAACCGTCCACATCACAATAATTTAGTCATCAGTATCAGGAAATAAATTTCTCTATTCCTCTCTTGGACATTTATGATCATCAGACAATGCTTATTGCACTATTTCCTTACATCCTTATCCGAGTGAGCATCCCTTACAAAATTGGAATAGTATTCAATAGCACGTGACACAGAATCACCATTTATGACTTCTAATATTCTGCTAAATGTGCTTGGAAGTGACCTTGCAGTCTCCAGAAGTTCATCTCTAACATTTTTTCCCTGCAAGATGAAGAAGATGAAGAAGCTTGACTTCAACAAAAAAAAAAAAAAAAAAAAAAAAAAAAAAAAAAACAACAAAAAATAAATCCACGCAATAAAAGGAAGATACAAAAAGAGTCTCCTAAAGCTTGGAAATATACAGAGTAGGTTACAACCTGCAAACCGAGGTCCTGACAAGCCTCTACATATCTAGCTGCCGAAAGAGAAGCATTTCTTTTAGTATCAGATTCTTTACGTTCCAGCTCAGCTAGCTGTTGATGAATCTTTTGGACCTGTTTCTTCTGATATGGGCTTCACATTAAAAGTAATAGTAGCATGAAAATGGAGCTCTTCGATATCCATCAGTTACTACACAAAGTTCATAACAAGACATTTACATTTCATAAGTCACATTCTGAACAATTATTTGAGCTGCCTCGCCAAGAAAAATATGATCCTTCTCATAAGTTCGTACAATCACCTCCCAAGCACCCTGACAAAAATATTTCTTATTTAGAAAACAAACGGACTAAAGCTCTAAATTAATTCAAGCCTGCCAATGTACAGTCAAGGCTGAGAAAAGAGCAGGAAAAGACAAGTCTTACAGCAGCACCTGATAGCCGGCCAAATATATTCCGGCTTTCTGAGGTTGACTCTAGAAGAATATTATATATATTTTTTGCCTCTAAATAACCAATATCTGAGAGAGAAAAAAATCCCATACAACCAGTGTAAAAGTTATTAATGAGATATAAACTATGACTCATAAGTAAACGAACTGAATAACAAGGGACATTTGATGCACAATATAGAGAGATTACATCAATTAGAATTTAGAGATGTTAATAGAATTATGATAGAACCTCTGTATTTATTCAACAGAGAAGTACACTGCCCTAACTCACCTGTTTCTAATGTGTAATATCTCGATTTGTACCATAAAAGGGGAAAAAAAGAAGAAGAAGAAGAAGAAGAAGAAGAAGAAGAAGAAGAAGAAGAAGAAAGGGGGAAAAAAGAAGAAGAAGAAGAAGAAGAAGAAAGGGGAAAAAAGAGGGATCAGTAACGTCAGCCACGTGTCAGTAGAGGGTCAGCATAATGTCAGTGACCGTATGGTCAACTGTCAGTTTCTTTAACTTCATTACTCTTTGTATAGCTTTTAAGCCTCTAGGAGTTCGTTCTTCAAGCTTTTGTGACTAGTTTTATTCTTTTGATTTAATGTAGGCCATATTGGAGGAACTTAAGGAAATTTAGAATTTTCTGAAGACTCGAATTGAGCCCAGGAAGTTAACAACCAAATAAGTCTCCGTTTGAATTTTTAAACAAATATTTGTAGGGATGGACTAGGACTTGGGTATACGAACTATTAGCATGGGGATAATTTGAGCATGGAAATGGATTAGTTAAACCCTGGATGATGGATTTATGTTGGTTTAGCTCGATATGCACGTTTAGGACTTCCGCCATGTAACCGATGACACTAATTTATTTAAATGCTTTGTTAGGACTACGGCATGTTATATCTTATTGTACCTGATATGCATGGAGTTGTGCAGATATGTATGATTTCTGATTTCATGTCATTTACACCCTTAGAAGCATGTTAGGAACACAATGTCACCCACTTAGAGCCCATGGCACAATAGAGGGTACTACTGAAGGAGCTCTGGTTGTACCTAGTGGATGCCAATTTTGCACTATTCTAGCCTAGAATGGCATAGGAATAAGGAGCATCGTTGGTACCATTATGGTAGCTTCCGACTAGCGCTTATTTACTACTAAGAGAGATCCGATTGTACCTAGTGGAGAGTAGGCGTTGCATTGTTCTAGCCTAGAATGACGTTGGAATAGGGAGCATTTTCATATGCCATTTGAGGAGTTTCCAGCTAGCACTTAGTAGTAGGTGCGTATGGAGATGTAGGTAGATTGAGAGGTCACCTATAGCGAGCGATGGCTCCTCCATACCTGTTAGACTTTTCTTGAGCTTGAGACATACGAGGGCACCCTGACTTATGCGCAAGAAGCACAATGACTATATGGACCTTGGAAAGTAGGAAACGAGAGGTTAAGAGCATCCTGAAACCTAAATATACCCCGATGGGTGGCTTACATTCTTGGAATAGGAGTAAGTAGGGTATATGAACCTTAAGAGATTGAGAAGGCTAGAAATGAACCCAAGCCATGGAATTAGCCGACTGTAAGATTCTGACTGAGCACATAGCTTAAGAAGCATTGAATAGGAGAAGTTTCAATGAGACCCTACAAGCAGGTGTTCATTGAGTATTTTTATACTCATTCCTCTATTCTTTGTTTACAAATGGAGTGTACACCTCGATTGCTAGCAGGAGCCTATGGAGCCGTGCAACTACAAAGAGGACCCCTAGATCAAGTTGTTTTTCCTCTTTTGACATTTTAATGTTATTCTTAAACACCATCTTGAAACTTGAGTCATTTTGTAAACTATTTTGATGCAACTCCGTGGAAGTGATTTTGTACTTTTAAATACTTTTTATATCAAAATTCCTGCTTATGTTTGACTTTGAATTCTTCATGTTCCCCGTTTATTCAAAATTGAAAAAATTCACCACATTTTTTACACTTGAGTCCACGTGGTGATTCGTGATTCCAAGGCTTGAAAAGTGAGTTGTTACATAATGCCACTGGTAATCAAAAGAGTACCTATCTCTCAATACAATTCCAACTAAAATACTATTAATGTCACACTCTTTCTCAAATGTGACCTTTTCAGTGAACCCCACACCAGTTGATATCTTACCAAATACTCCCTGCCTCTCCTACGACTGTAAGCTAATTTATTTTATCACCTTACTGGTAGAAAAGATATAGGAGAATGATTTTTAATCCTAGTTTGGCCATTGCTTGAGAAGACGCCACCCCTCCCCAATTTAGTTTTTCCATTCATGAATGTACAAGCCAGCCGGCTTACGACTAATCTCACAAGACAAGTTATCAAGCAACTCATAGAAATGACATGTTATCGAGGAACCCATACAATTTAATATCTTAGGTTAGTGCTCGTTTTTACTAAAATGGAAGTTTGCTTCTTAGCCTTGCAGCAGCGTCAATTAAAGGTTCCACTCCCGTCAATTGCAGAACTAGTGATAAGAAGGAACTCTCTCTCTCTCTCTCTATCTTTTGTTAATCAAATTTTATTCAGAGTATAGACTTCACTTAATGCCAGTAGATTAAAGAAAATAATTCCGTAGAAAACTTGAAAAAATCAAATCTAACCTTCATGGTCTAAGGTATGGAAATAGGGATCGGTATCTTTGGGAAGGGACAAGAACTCCTTAGAGATGCGAACTCTCAACGCTGTCAAACGCTTACGCCAATCAGCAGGGACTCTTTTCCGATCGACAAGCCACTCTTCACTCCCACGAAGGTGCAAAAATCAACCCCAATCAAATTGTTGAAAAAAAACCAAGCACAATTCAAACAAACAATAAACGAAGTATGTAATGAAATCAAAATCACTAATCGAACAAGAATCGCAGATTGTAAAGTGGATTTGATACCACCAAGACGAGAGAATGTGATGTCAATTGGAAGATTCCGAATATCGTCGGCAGCCATAGTTCTTTTTGCACTAAGAAATCGTTGCTTAGGGTGTGTAAGAGTTTTGTTCGGGATCGAGGGAGAGGCAATTTTTACTTCATTATTCTTAATTAATATATATATATATATATATATATATAATTATAATTATATTTCAATTTTCCATTCCTTTTTATAATAATTTTTAAAATATATATTAAATTGACTCGCTAATTTTACTTTATTATTTAAAAATAAATAAATAAATAAATATTTTACCTATTAACCGTTTATGTTTATTAAAAATAAAAAATGAATGAATTATTTGAACAATAAAAATAAATTTTTAAATAAAAGATGGTTCGCAATTAATTTATTTTTAAAATAATTTAATTATTAATTTTTTTTTTAATTCTCATTAAAATTCAAATTTTGTCTTAATTTTAAAAAACACAAAATTTAATGAGAAAAAAAAAAGACATGGAAGAGAATGAGGGTCCATGCTTTGACTCATCTTTAGACTAATCATATATAGCCACGTGTTTAAAACTATGATCTGCCCGCAGGCAATCCCAGCCCAACCGCTTCTCCCTCCCTTATTGATCTCTGAAAGGATCTGCCATTTCCACGAGGCTCTGTTGCGCTTCACTCTCTCTCTCTCTCTCTCTCTCTCTCTCTCTATCCATCGCCATGACCGAAGCTACTGACCAATCTTCCTCATTGCCGGTAAAAGATCCAATCTTGATCCGTCCCCGTCGCGAGCCCTTTGAGCATGGCCTCCTCCCCATTCCCAAGCTCGTCTTCTCCGACCCCATCCAAACCCTAATCCCTCTCAAGCAAAAGCTTCTTCAGGCTTCCCCTTCTCACCGTCTCAACTCCTCCGCCATTTCCGAATCCCTCCAGATCTCTAGTGACCATGCTCGCCTCGTCCTCGACACCCTCGCTTCTGTGCTCCACTCCGACTCCGACCCTCTCGTCAATGCTACTCCTGACGAGGTCGATTCTGTTGGCGTCGATGTCCTTGATCTGCTTCTCTTCTTGTATATTCAGTCTTACAAGAGGCTGCTTCCGAGATCGCATAAGGATTCTGCTGCTGTTGCCGATGTCTGGCCTTCCACTTCTGCTTTTGATGGCTACTTGTCTGCCCTTTCGCCCTTGCAGGTTTTTTTTTTATCTCGATTTATGCTAGTCAGAGGTTTTGATGTCTTTTACTCGGGGTTGCTGATTGTTCATGTTGATTGGTGGTGGTTATTTTTTTGTTGAGAGTTCAATCTTTCGCTCGTTGCGTTTTTGGTAGTTTTTGCATTGGTGTTGCCTGTGCTTTTGTGAACGAGGACGATTAATTCTATATAATGCCGAAGTAAAATGTGCTGTTGTTGGAGTTAATAGCTTCAGTTTAGTGGATTGATAGATTCAATTTTATAAACTCAGAATATGTAGTTTTCCATTTACGAATGACCTGTTTGGTGCTTGTTAATAGTGATTTGTTGGTAGACCGTTCAGAATTGTTTTCTTAACAAACTGCTTTCATTTTCTCTATTGGCTTAGAATGTCTGTTTTGTTTTTCTGAAGTAGATTTCACTAACTTGTTTACTGAACTATAAATTAAATCACCTGCTTTCAAACATTGATGGTCCATCATGTAGACCTTGTTTCGGTTTTCGTGATCCACAGGCTTGTTTTCTTTTTCTTTTTTGATAATGACACTAATGTTTTCTTGTGATTAATCTTTTTCTGGACAGGGCTCTGTTAGTATCATTTGTTTGTCTTGGTTCTGCTGAGTTTTTCTTGTTGACAGTAGTACTTCTGTATTGTAGAAATAGTGCTTCCTCTCTCTTTCCATGCATACGAGCAGGTGTTTAGATGTGCAAGTAACTGAGGAAGTTGATTGTTCACTTTTAGATGCTTTACCATTCAGGTTCATTGTACCTGCACATTTTTGAGAATTATCACTTTATTTATGTATGGTAGAAATGTTTATACCAATCACTTTATTATCAGCGTACTGCTAAAATAGCTCATATATCTTCCATTATACTGCAGCTTGTGCGTAGCAACAGCCGTCGACTTATGCCATCACAGGCTGATGAAGAGGCTCACCAATTATCATATTTACAAAAGCACTTGCCCAACATTCTCTCTCTCTTGGCAGAGAGTGTGGAGGAGGAAGGCGAGGAATCTTTGGTTAGTAATTTTTGGCTACTATCTTTCGTAAAATCTGTTTGTTACTTAATGTTTTTCATTTTTTATTTTTTAAAAGTAGTAATCAACTATGATGACGGAGGAGAAATTGGAATAATAAATACTGGTGGTTGATAATAGGTTCATTGTAACCCTTCGCAGGCAGTTTATTTCATGTTTAGTTGTTTTAGATTGGTTTCAATCTTTTTATACAATTTTCCCTTCATTGATTGCAGAAGAGAAACTGTGATGAAGCTTAACTATGTTAACTTCTTATCCTTTTCTAAGTTATACGGTGTAAATATTTTTGTAATTTTCTAGTCTAGTTATCCATGATTTGGTCAGCGTTTCTAATATGGACTTGTCTTATTTTGCATTTGCCTTCTTTTAATTACTTCTTTGTCAGTTTTGTTGTAAATTTTGATTTGAACGTGCTAAAACTTTGATGCACTTCCTTTGTACTTGCAATTTCGTTATTTGCATGCTTGTTAAGTACTGATGTCTCTCTTATATGCTAGTATGAATTTTCTCACTACAAATCCTTGAAGTTTTAGAACATTGAAGTGAATTTTTATTTGTTCTCATAATACTTGTTCATTATGGATGGTTTTACATGAAAATAGTTCACCGTCTTGAACTTTTGTGATAGGATAGAGTATTATTAGGATAAGAGTACAGTAGTAATCAAAGCAGAGAGTTGTTAGGGGATTTGTTATCAATAGGGGGAGTAAAGGAGGGCATTGAAAATTTTTTTGCGAGTGAATTAGGGCTTGGGAGTGATATCAAGAGGGAGGTCCACGTACCTTGAAACACTTGGTTTATCTTGTAAGTTTTCATCCTTATTTCAATATAGTTTGATTCTGTTTTGGTTCCTATCATTTTGCTTTCATTTACAAGTTTCAAAATATCTTATTCTTTGCTAACTGCATGCAATCTTGTAGGTTTTATCCGTTGAAAGATTTGAGCACCTCGGATTTTTGGTTCAATTTGGTGATAAGGGATCTGATGGAATGCAACTGAGCCAACATACTCCATTTTTTGCCAATTCTGATCCTGATATGCCTGCCGTTCCGGTGCCGGCAGCTCAAGTGTTGGACTGGATTTTGCAAAACATCGCATCTGCTTTAGATAATATTTCAGAGAGAGCTTCTCTTAAAGAAAATGGACCATCTGGTGCATCTGACCCAGATGTTGCTATGGCTGATGCATCCACAAGTTCAGTGAATAGGACTAACACTAACAGGGGTCCTAGTTATATTGAGGGCATTTCGAAGTCTTCTCTTGTGAAGCAAGCATCTGATCTCAAAGGTTCTTCTGTGAAGGTTTGTCATTGTATTGTTTTATTGCTGCTGTATAATAATAATAATCTATTGAAGAATAAACTTAGTTTCTTTATTGTAAGGTTATCATTTTTATTTTCAATGAAAGTTTTGATCACTAAATCTGTTATTCTTTTACCTTTGAGCGTATGGATTATGATCTGTTTGACATATAGACTCAGAATCAGGCTAAAATGGGCCATATTATTAGTGAAGGTTTCATATTACTTCATAGTGCTGTTAGTTCTAGGCATTGTACTTGTTCCCACTTATATCTTCTGACAAATAAACTGATTTTAAAATCTCTTCATCATATATGGGACAGACGAAATTCCAATTGATTGGAATCTAGGTACATATGAAATTCAAAGGAATTAGGCAAATTTCTTTTTGACCTTAGCCTCATGGAGGTGATGTATGACAAAGTAGAATGAAAGATCTTGAAGTTGGCAATGTTAATATTTTTGCTTTTACCCGTGAGTTGTCTCTGGATGTGATTTCATTTGTAAGTTTATAACAATATGTAAGGTACTTCTTTCTTTCATCTATTTCTTTATAAAATCGAGCAACTTTGGTATTTCAATCCGAGTTCTTGTGACAATTGTAGCTTTCCTAAATGAGGTAGTCAAGTCTCTAGTTTTGTAGATTTGGAGTAATATGCCAATCATCTTTAATTATTTTACCTTTACTGATGACTGAGAATGATTGTGACTTGATTTGGCCATGCCTATTTGAGTATAAAATTCAGTTTGATCCAAGAGATTTAAGCTGCTGCTTTTTTTTCTTTTTTTTTTTTAATCTGTTAAGTGATTTGTGAAATCGAGAATTTTTTAAATATTTTATTTGTGATTACAGGTGCTAACATTATTTTTTAATATTTTATTTCTGGTTACAGGTGCTTAACTGCCATGAATCTGTCATTTACATATTAGCACCTTTGAGATATGCCACAATATATGGATGTTCTGATACTACTATCGTTCTTGGAGCAGTTGGAAAGGTAATAACTAGTAATAATTGCATTTTGCTAATGGATTCTATTTGTTGATTGTGTATGCATAATATTAGGTGAAGAGTTGTATTGTCGTTTCCATTAGGCTAGTATATTTACTGGTTTGAATTTGATTATGGGCTAGGTGAGTAATGTGATTGCGGCATTTAATCGCTATTTCTTGAGTTTCACATACCTATTTTTGAGGAAAATGGGAACCCACAGACATCTCCTTAATGGTTGGTTGGATATTGTCCATTCTGTGTATAAGTAGTTGTGACTTTGTTTTTGGTTCATCTGAAAGGGCCTTATACATTGTTGTCCTGCTTTTATTCCATGGATCTTTCCCTTCTCTAGTTAATGTGTAATTTTTTTGCACTCCCAACGGTTCTCTCCTCAAATAAAGTGCTACCCAAATGTCTCCTTGAATAGTCATCATTTGTTTAATCTCATCTGGCTACGAGAGTTTGATCTTATGAAAGCTAATGACAAACTCAAACAGAGGACAACCATGGATCTCATTGTGAGATGTACTTGGTGCTGACTACTATTGCACTGTGAAATCCCACATTGGTTGTGAAATCCCACATTGGTTGAGTACGGAAACTTCTCCTAGTAGACACATTTT